TGTCACTTAATTACTTTGAGTTTCAGGAGCTTCTCCAATCGAACAATATTTATTTTTTTTATTTTAGATCTTGGATTACTTTACTTTACCGCATCATGAAAAAAAATACTGTAGATCATCGCAATTAAATTATGTATTTAAAATTTCATAATCTATTTCTGTTCAATTTTATTTTATTAAAATTTAATATTATTCAAACGATAAAAGAAATCGTTCAAGAAGAACGATAAGTAATCGTTCGACTTGAACAATAAAAAAAAATAATCGTTCTTCTTGAACGATTATTTTTCTATAGGACCGCAGTCTCGGGACCTGGTCCTAGAATCCAGTCCTAGGACCCAAGTCCTATGGACCGTGTCTTCTTTAGTCGGGACCGGACTAGGACCGGACTGGATTTTAACATCCCTAATTAAATATCAAAATCTATTGTTTTGGAAACATAATCTATATATAAAAAATAATTTGTTAATCTATGGATGAATTGGAAAAGTATAACTTATATTTACCGTTATTAATGTATTCATTACAATTTAATTTGATATCTTTAATACTTTTATCCAAAAATAATAAAATTAAATTAATAAATTAATTAATTGGTCAATATTCAGTAATTTAAAATAATTCAATGATAATACATTTTTATAATGTCTTGTGGGTTCAGAAGAAATTATTGTACTATTATTTTTAAAATAAGTCCAATACTCGCTGATATAATAATTTCTGTTGGCATAATTTCTTCATTCCAAATCATTTCATCAATATGTTTATTAATAATACGACCATGCGCGCAACAACCAGAAGTATAGCAAGTTACGATGAATTTGAATTTTCTGAACTACTTTGATTTAAACAAATTTATAATATTGAGGTTGATAAGATGATTATTGGCGCAGAACCTCTTCCAGGTGAGATGATGTCTCCTAAAAAAGTAACATAAGCCTGTCGGACGAAACATATACACTTTTATTGAAATATTACAATGAGGCATATGACTTAGATTTTTTTCAAATTGGAGAAAGAGGATAGAATCATTATCTGGCCTTATATAATCAATTTGGGCATATTTGAATAGGGTCGAGCTCTTCAGTTTGGCAAATATGCTACGTTATTTAAAGAATTCATTCATGCAAAATTTATACAAGTGAGTGATTCAGTGGAAGTGTTTCTCGGTCAGGTTTGATACTATTTTGAACATGAAGTTAATTTGCCTGATGGAAAACAAACTCACCTATTGGCTTACGTAAGGTGGTTTCTTCCAGTTCCGAATTATGAAACGAGATTTCACTGTCAGATCAATAATGATATTCAAAGCCTGCAATGCGGAAATTTGGACGACAAATTTTATGATATTATCAGGTACTGCATCATACCCGTTCACGACATATTTTGCCGATTTATACCTTCAAATTTTGAAATAGGAATGGAGATAAGAGTTTCAAGATAGAGATTCTGGGACATGATTTATAATTGTTTTACACTTTCAACCTTCTTCTTGTTTTCATATAGGTTTTGTTCGTGATAGCCAACTACACAAGTGTATCATAATGAATCGTTTGTTTATCGTAATTCTCAAAGGAAAGCCTTTGAGTTATTTGTTTATTTGGTTTATTAGCTTGGTTTTGGTACCTAACATCGGTTAACATTTAAGAAATCGGCATTTTACGAATGGCGCAATAACTGCGGAAAATAATAATGAATGTCAAAAATATCATTTATTATATCAATTGTTATATAAAATTTTTTTATAATTGTTATTTTCATTTTAATTGTTATTTTTATTATATTTGTTATATTCGACTAATTATTTTATTATCTTAGATATCTTCGATATATTTCATTTATATAGAAAATATTTAGAAATTTTGATATAAACCCCGAAAACCCGTTTTAATCAAAAGAATAAGATAGACGAGTCTTGAGAAATAACGTCATAAATCTTGAATAATAAAATTACACCTTACACTTTCAACCTTTATCGTGTCTCCATATAGACTTGACTAATAATCAGCTACACAAAGAATCGTATTACGAAAAGGTGAAATAAATCTTTCTTATAACGGGCCAAAGTTAGATTTAAATCCTTCGTTGGTTGGTTAATCTGGTTCGGGTTAACATCGTTAATTAACTGGACTGTTTAAAAGTTAACTTTTATCTAGAATAAGATTTGAATTTTGTCTATTGAAATTAAATAATATGACTTCAGTATCTTGTGATTTTTATAATTTCATTGTATCATGCCTTCCACTTTTTATTAATGCGGGACCAGATACCAATTGTCATAGAACTAGTATTTCGTCTAGTAATTTGGATATTACTGTGGCTTGCACATGTTAAAATTTGGATCAAGTAAAATATTTCATGAGTAATTAAAAATTACAAAAAAAAACCTGCACTCAAAAATAAATAAACGATACGCTTGTAAACTGTACCATTCAAATATTTAATTTGTAACAAAAAATAAATATATGATAATATAGTTTGCATAAAAAAGATTCATAAAAATATTCACAATCTTAATATTACTATTTCTATAATAAGGTAAAAATATCCAACAGGTGTTGATATTCTGAGTGCGTTGGACCTAGAATTTAAAACATAAGCGGATGTGCGTTTTAGCATTTCCTTTTCATATTCTTGGATACAGAAAATATAATTTTCCGAAGAATAATTAATTAATGCCTGAGAGAGAACATAAGCATCTTCAATTGCATTATTAGTTCCTAATCCAAGTACAGGGCTCATTGCGTGAGCAAGCTTCTCCAAATAATGCAACTCGACTACTTTTCCAAGGTTTAACGGACAATGGGTCAATATCTCGCAATTTCTTCGTTTGAATGGATTATAGGTTTTAAACAAGTATTTTTCTGGATCATTTGGATCATTTAGAAGAACCAACTCCCTTGGACATTTCGCAATCCGACCTAAATTTACAAATTATTTGCTTAACACGTTTAATAACTGATGCAGGATCATTATCATCGACCTTGTTTCCATCTGATTCTATAGTATTGCGTAAGAAATATTTATTCTGTAATGAAATTCATTGAAATCATCCTTGTTCTTTTTGTAATTGGATCTTGTTCCATTGGAATCAATCGAAATACATTAAATGACCAATCGCCGTGTGTTCAAAAAGATTTTTGAAATAGACCGTCTCCATGAGTTTTCATTAATCAAGACTTTTTTTTACAGGAATGTCCGAGGTATATAAGTCATCATAATCAAATATTTGTAATTCCGGTACCTTTTGCTTTCGAATTACAACAAAAACAAAAGAAAGCAAACGTTAATTAAAAATATATCAGAAAAAAAAATTTATTCGCAAGTTAAAAACTTAAATACCCGGATAATTAATTCCATCTGCACCTATTAAAATATCGCTTGACTCTCGTGAACCATCGCTCAAACGGCATTTTTGTTTCTTCAAATCCAATGCATTTTTTACCCCCATTGAACTGGTACATCTTCTAGTAATACATTTCTAAGCCTATCACGGTAAAAAATAAGAGCACAATATTCGTCAGTGATTTTCGACAGTTCATAAACTTCTTTAACTTGTTTATTAGGAGGTTTGAACATAAAATTTCCTAGATGATCGGCGATTGTAATTCCGTGAAATTCAGCATTTGGAATTGGATTTATTATAGCTATTGAAGGTTTGAGGCGACTGAGGATGGAATGCAGCTTAGAAGTGATCGAAAACCACGAGGGTTCAAATCGATATTATAACCTTGCTATCGATATATTTACATAACAATTCAAATGATCGCATGGCAAGTTTGTAAATTGAATCTAACGAATTTCGAATTTTATATATTTTACCTTAGGACTAGTTTCACATTAAAGATTTTTACATTAAATTCTTTCTTAATCTTATTTTTCATTAGATCATGATAAAGAGTAAGTCCTCCAGGCCCAGCTCTATTAATAATAACTGTTGGAACATTTCCTTGTCGCATTTTTTTTCGGATAAAATACACATGCAAGGTAAGGTTTACCGATCTGTCGTAATATTTATTATAAGGTTACAATAAGTTCCGATTGATTGCAAATCACAATCAATTGAAAATTACTAACTCGTTTTTTTTTTCCTTAGAATCTGACGAATCAAGTCCAATTTATGATATATATAAGGAAATATCCATACATCATGCCTTGATGGTTTAGGCTCATAAACAAGTTATATATCTCTCAGCCACAATCTTCAATACTTATGTATAATAAATGTTTTACTTTTTAAATACTCTAATTTTTAAAAAAAAATTGTGTGACAAATGGTGCCATATTTATTAGCATAAAGAAAAATTTGTTAACCGTATTTGTCGAAAGTTTATTATTTTTATACTTTTTTAGACATCCAATAAAGTTGAAAAATAATAAACTTTCGATTATTGATTGGAACCGGCTAATTATAAACCGAATAATTGGGGGTTAATATCAATTTTGAGTTTAAGATTCTAGCAATATCGAATTTAATGAATTCGATTTTAGTGGCGCAGTAAGTGCAGATATTATTTTTAAATGGGAGTTTGTTATGATTTATAATAATTTGACTCTATTGTAGTTTAGGGTTGTAAATCTTTAATTCTGCCGAGCAAACTACTGAAAACGGCATTAATTTGACACATCTTTTTTTCCCTTCCAAAAGAAAAAAAAAAGACCTTATTACCAAGAATGTATCCAGGAAATATTAAATGTTCAAACGGGTGAAAATTTATTCTCATGCCTTTTAGTCAATCACGCTTGGTGTATAAATGTTATACCATTATTATGGAGTGATCCGTTTAAATATAAAGAAATAACTCGAGAAACGAAAAATTTCTACTTCCTTGATAATTATTTGAGGAGTTTAAATCAAGATGAAACGAATTGGTTGATTCAACAGGGAATTAACATTTTCATCATGACAAACAAATCATTGATTACGTATTATTTTTAAAGATGATAGAATTTGGTGGATTGAGCAACATTATAGAAAATTGGATGAGATATTATATTTACATCGATTCGGATGAAATTTCTTTAAAATATTATTCCAACGTTTTGAACGTATTATTGAGATTATTTATGATTCAATCGGACATTCAAACATTATGTATTAATAAATGAATCAAGGAACTACATATTCACTTCGCAAAGGTCAATTTTATGAAGAATTTCTTTCCATTGTTTTCACTCTATGCACTCAAATACAAATTATATCATTGTCACTTAATCAAACGAACTTACCATTGAAATATTATGTCAACAATATTATAAGAAATCAAGCAAGGCTAAATTCTATTGCCTTATAATGTGATAGAAAATATAAGAATGAACGTGAATTAACCTTTTATTTAAATCTTTAAATTTACATGTCAATTGGTTAAAAGTATTGAATTAAGTAACATTGAAATTAATATTTTAGATTTCTCCTTAATCTTTCACAAGAATATGATCATAATTTGTTGGAGTTAACATTATTCAATTGTAGATTATACATCAAAAAACACGATCAAATTGAAAATTTAAAAGATTTAAGATTACCCATAAATAGTTTAACCGTTCAAAGTTGTTTCTTTACATTCTAAGGTAATAAAATTTCATTTGATGAAATTTATCCACCTTTATTTTTTCAAATCATTGGAACAAATTTGAAAAATCTTTCTTTAAATGTATTAGATAAGAAAATTGATAATTCCATTTTAACTTATTGTACAAATATCAGTTCCTTAGAGGTATTTGATTTACGTCATCCAAATTTATTTACTTTAATTAAAAATCTTGAACTTACAAAATTAAAGATATCATGATACATTATTCCTGTTAAAGTTAATTGATAATTTACCTGTAACTTTAATTTGCTAGTGTTGAAAAATTTAAGAAATTTCAATAATTTGCACTACTTAAAAAATTTCACGCTCGTGAGATCATTTTATATCAAAAATCACACATAATTACAATTCCTTTTTCGAGTTGTTAAATAATTTCAAGGACTGTATCGAATTTATTGAACTTCGAAATGTTCATACGTTTGGTATAGAGTATGAGAAAAATGTTAATAATGATGATATCAATGTTTCAATCAATGAAAAAATGTTATAGTATAAATAAGACTAATTGGAAATTAAAATGTGGACCTAAAGGATTAATATGATTTCTAATTCTCTTTGTAATATTAAGTGATAATTTTCATTATGATTAATTTGTTTGGGTGAAAATAAAAACAAAATCCTACAAAATCCACTCTCTAATAAATTTTTTTAAAAAACTTAAAAATATAGCTTCTATAGTATGCACCTCTTAAAAATTCCGTCTCCTTAGCATCCCTTTTATTGATAAAAACTCCAAAAGTTATTTTATGTTTTTTTTTTTAAAAAAAAATTTATGTTAAAACCATTTTCGTCTAAGCCACAGTTTATTTATTAAAAAAATTTATGTTTATGAATAACATTTTAAAATAGTAGTATCTTATTTTTTTTATTATTTATGCATTTCATTAACAACATAGGCTGAACAGTAATCGTTGTGTCTCTAAATTTGGTTTTGGTAAGTTTTCTGTGGACATATTTGAAAGTTTCCGAATATACGTTTTTTTCGTGTGGAGAGATGTATTAATTTAGTCGAATATGCTAATTTAATCATTATAAAAAATCCAGTGACACAATGTTGTACTACATAAACAATTTGTTCTTGTGACCTTCTTGTTGGAATTCTGTAAATCCTTTTTATTCAACGGTCTTCTTTCTTAATAAATAGTACTCTAAGACGTGATATTAAAATCTAAAATTACAAAAAACAAAAAAAAGAAGATTATGTACCATAAATGTTATAATTGCAATCAATTTGGAGTATTTTCCAAGGAAAACCAACGAATATGTCAAGCTTGTATCGAACCATATAACAAATGTGTAGTGTGTCATGAAATGAGAAAACCTTCTAAAGAAGATCGACAAATTTGTAGCCAATGTATTAAAGGATATACGAAATGTGATGAATGTGATGAAATTCTTTATAAAGAAAATCCACAGATTTGTAAACGTTGTATTTGGAAGTATGAAGAATGCAAAGAATGTACTGAATGGAAAATACCTTCTAAAGAAAATTCACAGTTTTGTAAACTTTGTATTTTGAAATTTGTTACATGCCATAAATGTGGTAATTGGAAAAAACCTTATGAAATGATTTCAAAGTTTTGTTTACAATGCTATTTTGGTCAATGTGAACAATGTCTTAAATGGAGAATGCCTTTCATGAAATATCCACCTAGCTGTCAAGGTTGTTTTAAATTGTATAAGAAATGTAATGAATGCTGCAAATGGACCATACTATCTAAAGTGGATCCATGGACTTGTCAATTATGTAATAAATTGTACATTTCAAGTGAAAATCGAGTTATTGATGATTTTATCAGAAATACACAAATCAATTGTGACAATCAGACTGCGAAAATGGAGTTCATTCCTTATAATCAATTCAAAGATGTTGAGTTTATTGCGGAAGGAGGATTCAGCAAAATTTATAAAGCCATTTGGATTGATGGTCCAATTGAGCATGGTAAACTTAATTTTGAACGTAAAGGTTCTACAAAAGTTGCTATTAAGAAACTCAATGATACTAAAAATATATCTTTTAAGGAGTTAAATGAGGTAATATTTTAATTTAATTATTAATAATATAATACAATAATGCTAATAATTTTATTGTGATTTTTTTAATAAATTCAGATAAAAGTATATTTTAACCTGAATTTAAATTGTGGATTATATAGTTCTTTTCATATAAATGAGTATTATGGAATTACCCTTGATCCTATTACGAGAGATTTAATGTTTATTATGGATTATTATGAATCAGGTGATTTGGGTCATTACATTGCAAATAACTTTTTTAATATTGAATGGGTTAAAAAGTTAGATATATTGGATAATATTATAGGAGGACTTTATCATATTCATAATCAAGGATTTATTCATCGTGATTTACATAGCGGTAATATACTTTATAGTAATGCTACTAGCAAGCATCCTGCGGTAATAAGCGATTTAGGAATAAGTAAGTCTGCAACAGAATCAACTGATAATGAAAATATTTATGGAATTATTCCTTATATTGCTCCTGAGATTTTTCTAGGACAAAAATATACTATAGAAACGGATATCTATAGTTTTAGTATGATTATGTGGGAGTTAATGACAGGTAGAAGGCCTTTTTGGGACGCAAATCATGATACAGAACTCATTATTAAAATATGTGATGGTTTGCGTCCTCCAATTATCACAAATGCACCTGAAGGTTATATTGATTTAATGCAAAAATGCTGGGATTCTGATCCAAATAAAAGACCAACAGCTTCCGATTTACAAATTAAATTAAATGATATGAAATATAATGAATGGGATAATGTAATAGACAATAATAAAGCAACAAATATGATTGGAGCTATGACGCCAAATAATCGAAAGGCAATTTACAAGAGTAGATCTTTAAGTGAGATGATAAAATCTGCGATGTTTACAAGAAATTTAAGCAGTCAATATAGTTCGGAATTGGGTAATATAATCAAATTGATGTACATTCTTTTTTATTGAATTCAATAATTAAACGTCTGTTAAATGTTAGTTCCATTCGATTACTATCAAAAAAACCACCCAACTTCTAATGGTATGGTAATTTATATTTAATAATAATTATTTTAAATTTATTGGTATTATTAATATAAATTTTTTTTTAAAATAAAAAATAAGTAAATGATAAAAGAAAATTAAATGTGGATAGTGTTAAAAGGATTAAATTATTTGAGGATAAAAATAGTGGTAAATATTTAATACTTATACAGTAATTAAATTATACTATGTTTATTTAACGAATTTATTTAGATTATGAATCAAAGGAACTAAAACTGGATATCAATGAAAGTGGTAAACAGACATGATTTCTATATTTGTATTATTTTATTTAAATATAAATTAATTGTTAT